CCAGCGCGCCCGCAGTCGCCTTAGCGCGGTCCGCGGTGTGTTGCGCGGCCGCGGTCGCCTTAGCGCGGTCCGCGGTCGTTCATGCGCGGTCCGCGTGGCTAAGTTCAGAGAGCCAGTATTTCCAGGTTAACCAGCGCGGCCGCGTCCCAAATCAGTGCGGTCCGCGCTGGAAGATTCAGAGAGTGGGGGTTTGGTCCATTCCTTCAGCACGGCCGCGTTCCAAATCAGTGCGGTTGGCGCTAGGTGGGTTCAGAGAGTTGTGACTTTCCAGCTCCTCAGCGCGGCCGCGGTGCACTTTTGCGCGGTCCGCGCTGAGTCTTCGGAAAGGGTATATAAGGTCGGGATTTTCAGTTATTTTTCACTTTTTCAAAACCCAAAACACAATAGGCGATTTTCCAAACGATTCTTCTTCTCCAAAACGATTGGTAAGTGATTTCTAACTCATTTTCTTTACTACTTAACATCTTTAAACATAATTTCAACTTCATAACAAAGATTTTAATGGGGAAATTTGGGAATTTTGGGTAGAACCTAGGTTTTCTAAAATTGGGGGTTTTGGACCTCAATTCGAGGTCCGATTCCAAAATAACTTATATATTTGAGTTCATGGGAGAATGGGTAATCGGGTTTTGGTTCGAACCTTGGGTTTGACCATGTGGGCCCGGGGGCATTTTTGACCTTTTTGGGAAAAATGATGATAAAGCTATAATTAGACATTGAGTTTGATTTGTTTAGCACATATTGATAACGTGAAGTCATTATTGCATAGATTTGGTCGAGTTAGAGCTGAATTCGAGAGGGAAGGAGGTTATTGAGGATTGAATTGACTGTGGAAGTTTGAGGTAAGTGTAGGCATGGTGACGAGTTCCTATATATTGGTGCCTAGCATGACCGTGAGTCCTTACTTGTGGATAATTTGGTTAATGTCATGCCTTCCATGTTTAATTGATGGCTTCTATGTGTTGTAAAGGCCTGGTGAAGGTAATTGTGATCGTGGAACTTCGTGGAGCATTGGCTCGGGTTGAAATACAAACTTATGAGAGTATATGAGATAAGAAACTCTTGGAGCTTTGGCTCGAGTGATAATGTGAACTAGGATATGAAAATGAAAGAAAGAGAAGAGTAATGATTTACCCCTTGTAGGGTTGTTATTGGTTGTTTGTGTACCCTTGTTGGGATTTCCTTCCAAATACTTGTTTACTCCCTTGCCCTTTATCTGTGATTGTTGCTTGGGTGAGGTTGAGAGGTAAATAATATAGATCGGGTTGCACGCCGCAACAATGCTAAATGATATTTGAGGATCGGGTTGCACGCCGCAACAATGCTAAATGCTATTTGAGGATCGGGTTGCGCGCCGCAACATTAGTAAATGATATGGATCGGGTTGCACGCCGCAATAATGATATTTGTGGACCGGGTTGCACGCCGCAACAGTGTTGAAATATATAGGGTCGGGTTGCGCGCCGCAACAGTTATTGATGCAAATGAGTTTATTATTGGTATTAGTTTCTTGTTCGCTGTCAATTATAAGTTGCCTTAGATTGTTACTTTGGATTTACTGTTAATACTGTTATCTCCCCACAGCATGTTTCCCCTCCCATATTGTTAGTTGCATTGTATATTCGATTTCCGCTGTATATTTATATCTGCACAGGTTAATGTGGTGTCCAGTCTAGCCTCGTCACTACTTCGCCGGGGTTAGGCTAGACATTTATCAGCACATGGGATCGGTTGTGCTGATGCTACACTCTGTGCATTTTTGCACAGGTCCAGGTATTGAGCAGCAGCAGCAGCATTAGCGCGGGGGCAGACCTTCAGTCCAGAGAGACCCGAGGTAGCTTGCAGGCGTCCGCAGGCCCGGCGTCTCCCTTCTATCCTTACATTTGACTGTTATCTCATTGTACCCGAGATAAACAGATTATATTTCTTTTAGACTTTGTATTTAGTACTTCTTAGATGTTCGTGAGTATGTGACTCCAGTCCCGGGGTAGAGATATATGTTGGAAATTTCTGTATTTTATTCAGCTATCTAAACTTAAGTCTTCCGCTTACGATTTTAATTACGTCGCCTTTATTTAATGCTGTTAATTGTTGAAAAGGAACGTGTGTTTAACCAAAATGTTAGTTAAGTTGGCTTGCCTAGCTCCTATTAGTAGGCGCCATCACGACCCCCGAGGGTGGAAAAATCCGGGTCGTGACACACTTCCTAGTCTTGGTCATTTAAATTTACCCCTAGGAGACGCACTTCCTAGTTTGAGTCATTTAGGTTCGGCCCTAGGAGACGCACTTCCTAGTCTGGTTCATTGAAGTTTTACCTGTAGGAGACACACTTCCTAATCAAGGTCTTTCAAGTTATTCTTTTAGGAGACGCACTTCCTAAATTGAGAGTTCATTCATAAGAGACGCACTTCCTAGTTTTAGTAACTGAAGTTTTCACCTCTAGGAGACGCACTTCCTAGTCTTGGTCATTTAAATTCACCCCTAGGAGATACACTTCCTAGTTTGGTTCATTCAGGTTTTATTTTAGCAGACACATTTGCTAGTCAAAGTTTTTTGGTTTTACTCGTAGGAGACGCACATCCTAATCTAGTCTTTAGTTTACTCTCATCATTGCATCAGTAGTTTAAGTGGTTTACAATATTGCTAACAACTCACAAATCTTCCTAGTGCAAACTGGGGCAGAAAATTTTGTTTGTTTCAGAGAAATCCTCCGTAAGGAAAGGCAGGCACCAAACAGGTTTCACCGTAAATTTTCAGGACCCTCCTGAAAAATGGGACCTAGTTTAAAATTTAAAATAGTCATGAGTAGTAAAATCTAGTGTAAATGTACCCCAAGGAATATAAGATGGTTTTAAAGTTTGCATGTTGGAGATAGGATTCAATTAGGAATTTTCAGGACCCTCCTGAATAATGGGACCTAGCTTTAAGATTGCTGTTAGATAACAAGATGTAGTAGAAATAATACCTTTAGAAGATATAACTTAGATTAAAAATTATCGTTTAATTAAGAGTTGTCAGGACCCTCCTGAATAATGGGACCTAGCTTTAAAATTTCCATTCGATAGCAAAATTTAGCGTAAGTTCTGTTGTAGGGTAGTATAATTCAGCCGTAAAGAATTGTCACTCTTAAGATAAAACTTGACTTTTGATTTTCAGGACCCTCCTAGATAATGGGGAGTAGTTTTAAGACCTTCTTAGATAACCATATTTAGTGGAAGTCATACCTTTATAAAACATAATTCAACTTTTAAACTGTCATTTAACTAAGAGTTGTCGGGACCCCCCCGGATAATGGGATCTAGCTTTCAAATTCTTAGAATATTTGGTAACATGATTTAGTTTGACACTCACATATGTGCCCAGCTACCAAACTGGGGCAGAAAATTTCTTTGTTTTGTCTATTTTGTTGAAATCAGGTACTCACTTGGACAACTGGGAGAAGCAATTCAAGTTCAGCAATCAGGCGCCCACCTAGAGAGCACGAGAATACAGTTCAAGTTCAGCAATCAGGCGCCCACCTGGAGAGCACGGGAATACAATTCAAGTTCAGCAATCAGGCGCCCACCTGGAGAGCAAGGGAATACAATTCAAGTTCAGCAATCAGGCGCCTACCTGGAGAGCACGTCAATACAATTCAAGTTCAGCAGTCAGTCGCGCACCTGGAGAGCACGGGAATACAATTCAAGTTCAGCAGTCAGAAGCCCACCTGGAGAGCACGGGAATACAATTCAAGTTCAGCAGTCAGGAGCCCACCCGGAGAGCACGGGAATACAGTTCAAGTTCAGCAGTCAGGCGTCCACCTGGAGAAAGGGAAAGCATCTCAAAATACAGTTCAAATTCAGCAATCAGGCGTCCACATCTCAAAGTACAGTTCAAGTTCAGCAGTCAGGCGTCCACTTGGAGAAAGAGAAAGCATCTCAGATTACAATTCAAGTCAGCAACAAAAGAAGCTCATGGCAAAAATGCGAGTCAACAGTCTGAGGTGATCAATAGAAGTTAGTCACAATAAAGAAAAAAGGAGAAGGGCAAGAAGTTAATCCAAATGCAGAAGTTGATGGAAGATGTGGGCTGCTTAAGACATGACTGAAGTCACAAGCATGGTGTGGTGTCCGGGTTTGGTCCGAAAAGCTGAGGAATAATGAATTAGCACCTGCAACTAGCAAGCGTCAAGGTTCAAATTCAAAGTCTGCATGAAGAACCATTCAAGACTCGAGATCAAGCTTCAGAAGACTTATAGATAGGAATCTTGTAACTCATAGTTGACAGGCTTAGCTAGTCTTTTCATTTCTTTTGATTTGGATGTAATAACAGGACCGCGGACCGGAACCTCGGCGGAACGGAACCTCGACCGGCTCTTCACCTCGGCATACTCCATCGTCTCATTCACTTCTGAACTACACTGACCTGATTCCTTTACAGCCAAGGATATGTAGGCAACCTCGGAAGCAAGGTTCGGTCAAATCTTTCAAAAAATGCTTCCCACGGAGTATTCAAACGGGCAAAAATCGCTCGTATCCACTCACTTTATCTTTGCACGAAAATCCTTCGGGTTTCCGAGCAAAAAGGGGCAGCTGTGAGCATGTGATTTTTGCCCTACATGAAAATAACTCCTAAAAAATAGACCAAAAGTAATGTTTATTAATTTTAGGAATTTTTCTTTGTTTATTTGCATTTCATGCATTTTTAAATAATAGAAAAATCCTAAAAAATTTCATTTTTACATATTTATCTTTTAGTCTTTAAAATTAGCATTTTTCTTTAGTTTTAAGTTAATTAGTTTTTTTAATGTTAAAAAATAAATAAAGAATTTTAATTTTTGTAAAGATAGATTGATTTAGGATTTTAATTAATTAAAGAAAAGAAAGAAAACAAAAGAAAAGACTGTTTTTTGATATTGGGCCACTCCAAAAAGTAAAAATAATGGCCCAAATATGATTCTTTTACCCAATTGTCGCACAAACCAAGCCCATTCCCCTACCCAATAAAAGAAAACCTAGGAGCTATATACACAAAAAGATAACGCCTGATATAGAAAAAGAAGAACGGATCAGCCGCAACAGTGCAAAAATCCCACCCCCCATCGTTTGGATCTCCCTCTTCAGAGAAAGAAGCAAAATTCCATGTCCTCTTCTTAATAAAAAATAACAGACCCAAGCTATACATCTGATCAGCCGCAGAATCACAAAATACACGACCACCCCCTTTTGATTTTCTTGGAGAGAGCACAAAACAAAAGAGACCTTCAGTCTTTTGAACTTTGGTCTCCAGCCATCTTCCACCCCAAGATCACGGCAAGCATGGACGAAAATCTGGGCGGAAGATTCAGGCCAATTTTTGGACAGAACTAGAAAAAAACGAGGCCCTGAGTTTAGCTTTTGATTTCTTCGTCTTCTTCAGTTTTGTTGGTCTGATTGTGATCTCGGATTCAAATTCAAAATATAGAACATAAACATTTTCAGCTTCTTCTTTGAGTTCTAATTTTAAAAGATGAGATTATTTGAGGCCGGAAGCTGAGTGAAGGTTGATTCCGGTTCGAGTTCCCGTCGCCGGTTCGAGGCTCGCATCAGTAGCCCGTCTCGCATGTTTGGAATTCTTCTTTCATTGTATACGTTGACAATTTGCAGCAGTAGAGGTCCGTCCTTCCCTTCTTTTATTTACTTGCTGTTAGTGTTATAAATCTCAGCATTGGAAGAGCTAATTTGGGATGATTTTGAATTATATGGTTATAATGAGGTGTTGTTTTCTTGTGTTAGAACCTTGAGATACTGGTGTTAATATTAAAGTTGGTTTGGGTTTTGTTGAGATTATTCTTGAAATATTGAAGCTGATCAGTTACGCAACCAAATCAAATCGGATTTGAATCAGATCTAAGTCGTAACGTAATGCTGAAGCAATGAGAAATACTGAAACTAACAAACTCACCATTTTCAAATATGAGAACTTTCTGCACTGTTGAACGCTATCCATGTTCTAGGACCCAATGTTTGGACTTCTGCCTCCAATCTGTCGTTCTTTTTACAGAATTGGTGTTGGAAAATTCAATTTATCTCATCTGAGATTACATGATAGGCAGAATTTAATTTGCTTGCCGAAGTGATCGGTTTATTGTTGATTCCCCCTTTTCCCAGTTGCCGATATCTATCGTGTATGCTGTAGTAAGATTGGGCGTGCCTGTGTGGTTAGTTAATGTAACGTTCGTGTAAAATTCCTATGTATGTTAATATTTAATTTGTAATCCTCCAGCATTCTGTATAGTGTGCAATATTTGCAATATCATGAAGTTATAATGTTAAATCTAGTGACCTATCACTATATTTTTGTGGTGTAACTTAACAAAAGTCACATAGTACTTGAGTAAAAAGCTGAAGAGAGATAGTGAATGGGAAATTATAGAGAAATGGTCAAAAAACATGTATATAAATGGAGTGTAGATGATTCTGAAATTTGGAATAATAATTTGGAATTATGTTGTTACAAAAATTAATTTTGATTTAATCCTTAGAATTCGAGGCGTGCCACCTAGTGGAATTTGATGGCCCTCGCAAACTTAAAAACGCGTAGTTGCTTTAGGCGCGTCATTTTAATAATTTACCTTCCTAAACTCGGGTGCACATTTATGTAACCCAAATCCAAATCTCAACGTAATATAAAATGTGTTATGGACTGCGGGTACATTTATGTGACGTGGTTCAGAACATATTTTAAATGACGTTGCAATCTTCTTTTAATTAATTAAACAAAAGCGGTTAAAAAGTTAAAGTTGCACATAGGTTTAAAATGTATTAAAATTAAATTATAGGCTAATTATAACAGTTGAGCGACCGTGCTAGAACCACAGAACTCGGGTTAACAGAATTCTTTACCCGAATTTCTGGTTCGCGGACTGTAATACAAAGTCAACCTTTTCCTCGATTTGGGATTTGAACCGGTGATTTGGGACACCATAAATCTCCCAAGTGGCGAATCTGAATTTTCAATAAACAAAGAATCCCGTTTCGATTATCCTTTAATTGGAAAAACTCCCTTTATTATACCCTTACGGGGTGTAGTAAAAAAGGAGGTGTGACAATGGGGAGGTATTTGTCTCTAAAATATGAAACATTGGATTATACAAATTAGCAGTCTGTTAATCTTGATGCAGTTGGTTGAGTGATCACTACATTTCTCTTTCTAATACTAATGTCTTGGTGCACTGTGATCAAAATTTGATTATTTTACAAATCATTAAGAATGATCCAAAATATTGGAAAGTCAGTGAATTTATTAATTCAATGCTAATTAGTTCCTTTTATGCATGCACCGCTGTTGTTAGATGCTCTAGAAGAACTGTGGTTTCTAGTGTGAAATTTAAAGTCGTTGACAATATAACCAGTCCATGGTTGCGCTATTCGACACGGACCTTCTGCATCGGCCTTGATGGACTGATTATTTATGTGGACTCGTGCCTATAAAAGAAAAATAATTAGAGTTTCTCATAAGTGAGGTAAGTATAAGTGGGAGGATATTGTACAAGTACACATCTTTTAAACCATGATGCAGAATCTTTATCAAGTTTCCTATCCACTTCTCCATAATTGGTGGGAAATTTTGACGAAGGGAGTCAATAAAAATCCTTTGAATCACATCCAAGAAAATTATATATTAAGTGTTTTTGATGATTTTGCTAATCTATAAATGAAAACAAAAGCTTGAAGTCTTGCTCAATGTATGGGTCTACTTCTACGCAATTTAATAAAATATAAATATGAGCTGCATCAAGTTCTTCTTTAGTCATATATCTTGGTTTACATCTCCCAAATGCTTTACTTGGATAGGTAAATATAGAATGATTTTGCGTTGGTGGTGGTAGTTGAGGTGAGTGAGTGTGTGGTTATGGTTAAAGATAATGGTGGTGGGTGGTGGTAAGCGGTGGCGGCTATGGTTGAGAATGGTGATCGTGGTGGTGGTAGGTTATAATGGTAGGCAGTGGCGGTAGTTAGTAATGAATGTGGATGATAGCGTCTTAGTGAAATTAAGTCTTTGTTATAGATCTTAATCATAAAAACCTATAAAGTGATTGTGAAGTAAAAAAATACACTTAATAATTAAGATCTAAATGATTAAGATTCAGACCTCCATTAAGTGCAAACAAATGAGGCCTAAGTCATCTTGGAAATTAACAAGTCCAAGCATATTGGACTTGGTAGTTAGTGTTGGATATAAGGGCTAATATCTGATAATTAATATATATTGAACTTATGATTGAGCATATGAGTAATGCGTTAATGTTTGATGGGTAGTGGGGTAGGGCTAAATATAAGATTACAAGATTTTCGTATTTTGAATGTTCAAAATTTAAAGTTCTAAATCCGAAATCCAATCTATTCAAAAATCCAAATTAAATACTTATTCGGATTGGATTTCGGTTCGGATTTTGCCTTTATCCAAATAATGCACACCCCTAATCCTCATCGTCATCTTCATCGTATCATTATATTCCACGTAGTCTTTTTAGTAAAATTATTTGTTTTCTTTCTGAGCAGGGACTGGGTATGTTATGGTATGAGGCCCGACGCTTAGTATTTTTGGGCACTGGTGCTATTAGCTTTTGGTAAAGTTGGCGGAGATATTTCTTTGAAAGCATTTATTGTTGACAAACTTAGGAATAACATAGGGGTATCTTAGCTCGAACACCTTTCATAAGCAAATCCAAAACTAGCTAGATAGTTTCCTGGGCTGCACGTATACGATTACGGAAATCTTTAAATGGTCCACATTGTGAAGAGGACCACAAAAAAATAAGGATAGAAATACAACGAATACTTAGCTGGAGATGTAGCTGGATTATAAGTGTATTTTTGGCTGCATTCGTCTCAACTCAAGAGTGGAGTGCCTTACAAAGATATGTACATTTGCAATGGTGGGGTTGTTATATTCTTGTTGGGTTTCCCATTTTATGAACGCAAGGAACCATCAGGGAACTCCTTTCGTTATGTCTTTGAGATTGTTAAAGTGGCAATATCAAAGATGCATCTGAATTACCCAGTCTCTAATCACCAGTTGTTCAAGAATGACACTACCGACACTTAGATTCTTCCTCGCATTACATTCTTCAGGTGCATTATAATGTAATATGTACCTAAACTTAACTCCCCATTGACTAGTTGGTACAGATATAATAGTACATCTTTAATTTTTGTATAACCATATGATATCCGACATCTATTGACTCAAATGTATTTGAATCATTCGTCTTATAACATATAATTTTTTCGTGTGCTGATGGTTAGACAAGGCAGTCATATTGGAGGTGTCGCCCCCTTCACGTTCAGCATCAACCGAGCAAGAAAACGTGGTGGGCAGACGACTTTTTGAGGTAGCAAAAGTGAGGGAAGTGAAACACTTGCTAAACATGCTCCTATTGTGGTCAACATTTCTTGTTTACAGTCTTGTAGGTGCTACAGGGAGAACCTTCTTTTTTGAACAAGCTAAATATATGGATGACTGTCTCGGAAATTGCTCACTAATAATTTTTGTCATTGCCATGACATTCACACGTTCAACTGTATTCAGGATATGTCCGCTGCACCACAATTAAAGTCATGTGTGGCGTCTTTTGATCAACAGAGTTAGCCTTAAGAATGTTCTGTTCCGTAATATGCTGTGTAACTGCTTGGAGGGTTGAATATCACAAGCTTCATCATGTGGGGATACACCCCATTTGTATTTTCTGGCTAATTCCTCAATTCATCTTGTTTGAGGTTATGGAGGGATTGAATGCCATTGAACTCCAAGATTTCTTTGAATCTCAAGTTTCTGAGTCAATGAATCAGTATGGACCATAATTAAACAAAATTCGTCTTATGCATTAGCCAATTCTTGAATGTCATATGCATCTTCATTTTCAGATCATTGTTTAAGAAAGACGTAGATAAGAGCCGTTTAAACAAGTATTATGTAATATTAATAGTTCCTACCTTTCTCAATTTTTGCTTATTCTGTTTGCTGATCAGGAACTAGTATGATAATTATGAGCCTCATTATATCGAAGTGTTGAGGACATTGCTCAAAGATTATAGGAGGACATATTAAAGAAGTGATGAGAAATTAGGACAACACAAGCTAGACTTTTATATGAGCTAGCTAAGAATGTATAAAAGTTTAGCTTGTGTTGTTTTAATTTGTCATCACTTCTTTAATATGTCCTCCCATAATTCTTGAGCAATGTCCTCCAACACTTCGGTATCATGAGGCTCATGATTATCATACTAGTTCTTGATAAACAAACAGCTTAAGCAAAAATTGAGGGAGGTATGAACTATTAATATTGCATAATACTTGTCTAAACAACCCTTATTTACGTCTTCTTTAAACAAGGATCTGAAACTGAAGATGCATATGACATTCAAGAATAGTCCAATGGCTTAGACGAGTTCGTTTAATTGTGGTCCATACTGATTCATTGACTTAGAAACCTGAGATTCAAAGAAATCTTGGAGTCTTGTGGCAGCCAATCCGTCCATACCTCATTCAAGATGAATTGAGGAGTTAGCCAGAAAATAGTAATGGGGATATCCCACATGATGAAGCTTATGATCTTAAACTCTCCAAGCAGTTACACAACATATTACGGAACAGAACATTCTTAAGGCTAACTCTGTTGATCAAAAGACGCCACACATGGCTTTTATTGTGGTGGAGCGGACATATCCTGAATACAGTTGAACGTGTGAATGTCATGGCAATGACAAAAATTATTAGTGAGCAATTTCCGAGACAGTCATCCATATATTTAGCTTGTTCAAAAAAGAAGGTTCTCCCTGTAGCACCTACAAGACTGTAAACAAGAAATGTTGACCACAATAGGAGCATGTTTAACAAGTGTTTCACTTCTCTCACTTTTGCTACCTCAAAAAGTCGTCTGCCCACCACGTTTTCTTGCTCGGTTGATGCTAAACGTGAAGGGGGCGACGCCTCCAATATGGCTTGCTTGTCTAACCATCTACGCAAAAAAAATAATATGTTATAAGATGGATGATTCACATACGTTTGAGTCAGTGCATGTCGGATATCATATGGTTATACAAAAATTAAGGACGTACTACTGTATCTGTACCAACTAGTCAGTGGGGAGTTAAGTTTAGGTACGTATTACATTATAATGTATCTGAGGAATGTAATGCGAGGAAGAATCTATGTATTGGTAGTGTCATTCTTGAACAACTGATGATTAGAGATGCCTCTTTGATATTGCCGCTTTAACTATCTTAAAGACATAACGAAGGGAGCTCCTTGATAGTTCCTTGCGTTCATTAAATGGGAAGCCCATCCAGAATATAGCAATCCTCCCACCATTACAAATGTACATATCTTCGTAAGCCACTCCCACTCTTAATTTGAGAGGAATGCAGCAAAAAATATACCTATAATCTAGCTGCATCTCCAATTAAGTCTTCGTCGTATTTCTATACTTATTTTTTTGTGGTCCTTTTCACGAAGTGGTTCACTTAAAGATTTCCATAATAGTATACGTGCAACCCAGGAAACTATCCGGCTAGCTTTTGAATTTGCTTCTGAAAGCTGTTCGCTCTTAGATTCCTTCATGTTTTTCCGAAGTTGGTCAAGTGCATTTGATACTGGGACTTCCATTGCTAAACTTTTTCTTAAAATGGAGCATGGAGAGCTAAATAGTGCACACGTCTCTCTTAAAATTTGAGAAACTTCATACCTGGTAAGTTTTGAGTTTTATTAAGTATCTCTTTTCTCCTGTGAACATGCCTAAGTATTCTCTTAAAAAATTCATTTTGTCAATTTGGTATCGGTGTGTTTTAAGTATTCATTGCATCAAAATGCTTGACAGATTTTATTCTTAAACATTTTTCATCTGCATGTTTTTTTGCCACATCGAGAAATTGAAAGAGAAAAGTAGGCGCAACTTTGTTAGGCGAACTTGCTTCTCTCCATCTCTTTTCTCCGGTGAAGTCTATTTCTTTCTCTCTGATTTTGTTCCTCTTGATTTCTTACCCTTACGCTCTAAAATTCATCCTTATGCTAAAAGCCCTAATTTCTTTTATTCTCTTATTATATTTTGGGTAAAAAGGCGTATTATAGTTGTGTTGCTATACTTTTTCTTTTTCTCTTTGTTTGAATGGCTTTAGTATGCAATTGGTAAATTAGAAAAACCGTGTGATTATGTAATCATTTGGAGGTCTCCATGTCCGTTAATCGATTTTGCAATCGCTATGGTGTTTTTTTGATTGAGTTTTTGTCTAGACAATTGAAGAAGCAGTCCTCTAAACATACAAAACATTTTTCACTTTTCAATATTCAATCTAACACATAAAATGGATCACGGAATTGAATCTAACCATGACGTTGGAGAGAAAATTTTAGCTGAGCCAGCTAGGTGGTGGCCAGAAAAAATAAGTGTACCAGGGATGATTTTTTTGGTAATCACAAGTTAGGTATTGCTGCAATTTATGTGTTACTGTTTTGATATGCTTTACCTAATTTTTTATTTGGCAAATCTATATGCTTTACATAATTACTTTGCGCAAAGTTCCGCTTATTTGATTTAAGAAAAGGGCGATCTCTGCCTATTCTACAGAAAGATAGGCTGCATTTATGGGTTCATTCCGTTATGTCGTCGCTTAACAATTCAAATGTGACCATTCAGTTGTATGTAAGTCTTATCTTAGTACCATAGAAGCCTAAATTTGTATTTCTAATTGCTACTCTCTTTCTGTGATAATAGTGTGGTTGATTTTAGTTGTTCCGTGGTTAAGAGTGGTAACTCCAATTGAAAAGGGCCTAAATTTGTAGTTCTTATTCCTACTCGCTTTTTCTGATAATAGTTTAGCCAAGATTGGTGGTCTGGTCTTTCTTCTACTTTGCCCTTACCATCTGAATTTTCAAGCAGATTCAACGAGAAATTTAGATGATACCAGATTTTGGAAGTCACCTATACTCAGAGGGAGTTTGGTTGATAATTCAGAATCATCTGTACGCATATCTGATTTGGGGTGAGGTAGGGTGTCATGGAGGATGCCATACGATCTTTAGGTCCTACTTTTCTTATGGGACCCTGTATTCACCAGTTGTCAGTATCATACCAGTGTCTGTTATTTTCAATTCAATATTCAGATAATGATTTGTGATACTTCAAATGTGAACAGGGGCAGGGCCGCTGCATAATGCCTGATTAAATTTCTTCAAAAAGGTTATACCCCTTAACTGGTGTCTTTTGGACTAAATAAGAACAATTTCTGCATTTCGTCTTCCTTTTCTTTTTTGTTTCCTTCCTCTCTTCCCCTGTTATACTTTATACCACATTTTTGCTGTATACTTTTTTTAACATTTTGTTGTCTGTTTAATTCTAAACATGCTGAATGTCACATGCTTCAACGCACCAGGCAAACTGCTTCAACAGCTTGTGCAGCAAGGCTCTTCTACTCATGTAGCCATTCTATACCCAGGTTACACTGTATTTAGCATGTAAATATTTTTATACTTAGCTCAATATCTTCTGTACTATTCACATAGAAGTTGATCACTTGAGAGGAACTTTTATCCAAGCTAATAACTGCTGATACTTTTGCAAAAAGAGATCTACATTTCCAACACCTTTACGCTTCTGCTGTTATCTATACTTTAAAGTGGATATCAAATGTTTGTTAATCCACAATTAAACTTCTGTGATCAACTGTTCATCCATTTGAAATTATTCTTGTCCCGGACATGGGAATAACCAAACATCTTCTCTCTATTTCTCCTCTTTTGTGAATCTGGTTATTCTATTCCAAAGTTCTACAAACATCATAGGTTATCTATCTGTTTTTTGGTTTGTTTGGGTCATTTTTGGGAGCTTCAGATGTCCACGTAGTATGATTGTTGTCACAATGCGACCCGTGTTTAAGCACTATGAGAAACCTATTTACCAGATGGATGACTTACTGACTTTATAAACCTTTCGAGTTTCATTGTTACCCTTATTTGAGGATATTGTCTATACTTGGTAATTTTATCTAATTCTTTCGTTGTGTCCATTTCTTTGTTGCAGTTATACACATTATAGCACAACGGCCTCCATATGAAAGACTAGGTACTTTTGGTACTCCTATTATTTTTTCTTAGCATAATAAAGTGCACATAGTGTGCTTACAAAAATAAAATAAAAAAGTACAATGAGTGCTAATGTAGATGTCCAAGTTCTTGAAATCTTTTTACACCACTCCAGTTGGAGACTTTGCTTACTGAAGGGTACATCACGATTTTGACTGGTTGGTTCTCTGGCAGTTTTTTGCGAGTATTTTCTACTTAGTGTTGTGGCGCTCAAACAGAAGGTTTTTGGTATTTGAAATGATTACCTGATAACAAAGAGACATATTATGCATCTTTTTTACAGTCAGTTTCTTCTGCTGCTTTATTTCTTGACCTGTTGGAAAAGTGAACATTTGATTTTTTGCTTGAAGTCAATATCATAAACCTGCTTCAGTGTTGGAATTCTCTTTTGGATCTTTCCATGGAAGAAAACATATCTGTCCATTGGATATGTGAGAACCTGTTTGGTAAACTCTGTATGGAGCATTCTTTGGCCCATCCTAGACATAAGTTAATGGAGGAACCACTAATATTCTATTCTATTTATGGGTGTGAAGTTATATTTAGCAAGAAATGGGGGACCTGTTTTTGGTTTTTAGACCAACTATTAGCTTCTCAAATGTTAACTTTTTTGAAATGCAAAGAAGATATTTAGCAACACCTGGTTAGACAGGACTCCTTAAACTACTAAATTTAAGATAGAAATTCAGGCCCTTTGTGGCATTTTCCTTTATCATTGATGGAGGAAGAGTGTGTCTATACCATTTGAAGTTCTAAGTGGCAGGTAATCTTCTTTAGATAACCCGATGCACCAACCAAGATCATCTTGTCAAATTTCACGTAGTTACAGAGGTAATTTTGTACAATAATGGTCTTGCTATTAGAGCTTCAATCAGTGAAAATGATCCAGACTATAGACATCGTAATCTTGCAAAACTCATGTTCATTCACATGCTTGTTTATCCAACACATTTTGGTCAAATGGAATGCTTGAAGTTAATCGCATCTCCGGGATTTCCAGAGAAACGAATAGGATATCTTGGTCTAATGTTGCTGCTTGATGAAAGGCAAGAAGTTCTCATGTTGGTTACAAATTCTATAAAACAGTATCCATTTCAAACTTACTGCTTTTATAGTGGTCTCTCTTTAATTTATTATTCTACATTATTAGAAGGCACTTGAATAATTGGACCAAATTAAAATGTTTAAAGAAAGAATTTCGGGAAAAGAGGTTTTTTTTTATTTTTTTTTTGATTTGCACCGGGTGTCCGAGTCTCTAAGAGCCCCGACTAATCCCGGGGGTGCACAGGCCTTCGGCAAGGAGTTTCCCGCAAGTGCACCACGGTTAATTCAGGTTTTACCCAGTCCGATGGCCCTCAGAAATTGTTTGCACCCAGTGGGTTTCGAACTTGAGACCTTGAAAGGGAGCAAACCCCAAGGCTCAAGTCTATTGCCACCAGGCCAACCCCTGAGGGTTTTCAAATCTCTCTTTTGTTTCTTTTTCAGAAAACACCTAAAATTCGTAAGATGATGCCAGTTGATTATCCCCCAAAAAAGAGAAAAAAAAAATTATAGAAGAGAAAAAATTGATGCTGCTCAGTTCGTCTGGAAGATGAAATTATGATTTTCTTTGATATCTTAACTTTTAATAGAGATCTTAATCACACCAACCAATATATTGTTGGACTTGCACTTTGTGCCTTGGGGAACATTTGTTCTGCTTAATCACACCTGAAGTTGAAAGGTCGCTGCAGTTTAGAGATCCTAATATTCGAAAGAAGGTACATCTTATATCTCTTGCTAAAAGATTAAGAGTTTTTCATTTGAATTGTAATTAAGTTCCATTCCAAGATGTGAAATTCTGTTTGCCTACACAAACTCGTTAAGTATTAATTTCTTAAGGAATTCATGGATGAATCAATTAAAGTTGAGGTTCATCAGTACAGAAGAGAGGGATCTGAGTTAGAAGGAAAAGATAAAATGTTTAGGGTGAGAAACACTGATAGCTTAATTGGAATTTCGGTTCTTTGTGTTAGAGAAAATGAATTTGCTCAAATTTATTATGATGTCTGTGGGATCCCTAATTGAGATACATAACTTATGGCTTGTCTTTGCCTTCCAAGTTTCTCTGAGTTACACAAGTTAGTTAATCTGACCTTTGAACTTGTTTTGTAGCTAGAAAGTGCTAAAGAGATCGTTTGGAAGTTCGGGGGGTGGGTGGGTAAAGAAGATTATACAAAAATTGTTATTTCCTTAATTGCAGTTAAATTTGTAGTATATCTATTCTTGTTTTGGATATTTTAGAGTTATAATGCACGGAACGGTCTCCATTGTTGTTGTTGTAGAGTTGTAATGCACAGATTATGCTATAAAAGGCATGCTTAACCTAGTATTTTTCTCCTTTGAACGAGAAATACTTTATGTTGAGGTTTCTTTGTGCAAATGTAGAGAAAGGAATCCCTCTGTCGGAACGGGAAAGAACAATCTACTTTCGGTGGACTTCATTATTCAAGCTGTATCTCCTTGAATGGTCTCTAACAGCGTGGTATTCCTTTTGCAGGCTCGAAATGAGGAGTTTGCTTCTATTTTCAATCTTGAGGATTATAAAGGTGTGTTTTTAATCCATGTAATCATTTGGCATTGTCTAATCATTTGAAGCAGATATTCTTGATACACAAACTTCTTCTGTCCTTTCTAAATAACTTGGGTGGGCTAAGTTTAGATGGGCTAATCCTTTCATTCGATTTTTTGTATCTCAAAATGACTTGTTATTGCTCATTATGTGTCTTGGAGATATACTCACACAAGTGAGATGTCATTTTAAAGTGATGGTGCAATTTTGTTCCCCACTATGTCAGTTTTAAAATAACATGGTGAAGCTCTGGTCAACCTTTACTCTAATACATTGACCATTTATCATTTACATTCTATATTAGTTTATCTAATTAATCTACTTTGACATTTCTTCTCCGCATGGCTTAGAGTCGTTTGGTAAGGGGGTAAAGCTTATTTCAATGATAACAAAGTAAATTAGGCAAAAAGATCATCTTGCAAAAATGCTCATGATGCATTTCACTGGATGCTACTTTAGCATCCATCATAACATCCTGCACATTACAGAATGTCGTTGGTGGTGTAAGCATTATTCGATTAGCTGCTGTTTCTGAACAGGCGAACCTAAACACATTGCATTTTTAAGTAGGCTTCAGATTCCTGGTTTTCTCAGTTATTTTACTGTTTTGCAGTTTTAATGGTCTGTAGGGACAATGGCCCCCGTGATGAGATTTACAGCTTAATCTGGAGTCAAGATTTTTCGCAATGCGAGTAGTGTCAAATGACAGTCAGTCTGGTAATGGATAGTTCAGAAATAGAACCCATCTCTCATATTGCCATTGTCGAGGATCTGAGGACACTTCACCTTCAACTGAAATTACAGCGAGCGAGGATTGTTTGGAGAATGCTGGTCACCTTCTAAGTGTTGAAGTTGACGGAATTCAATCTTTGTCACATGCTTAGTTATATGTAGACCACTCAGGAAGATATATTTCTCAATGATAAAGACTATTTTTTCGACTGACTACGTGACTGTAATTACATATATATTTAGAATGGCGAAATGGCCTCGTGACCACTTAAACTTGTACGAGATTTCAAAGCCGATATATAAACTTACATAGTTCCCATTTGAATACTCAAGCTCGAATATTTGATAACTAATAAACATACCGTTGATCATGCACATGTGGCAGTGAAAGAGGTGATATGGACAAAGTGTGTGCAAATCACCTAAACTAAGCGTGTCATTACAATAATTTTGATTAAAAAAATTTAAAAAAAAAAAGAAAGAAAATCACTCCCCCCCTTTTTTTCCCCCTTTCTTTCCCACTCCAATCTTTCCTTCCCCCACTCCAATCTTTCCTTGCTTCTTCATCTGTTTGTTCCAAACCCATGCGGCAGTGGTGAAAACAAAGAAAAGCAACAAATTTTATCAAATTTTTTCTGTCAACCTCTTTTCTTATATTAATTCCCTCTCTCCTTTTTCTATCCATCTCAAACTGGAAGACAGATAGAGAAAAGAGAAAGACCATAAAAAAATTGACGAATTTTGGATGAAGTTTTTTAAGTACGCAGTCCGACTTCTTCTCTCTTTTGGATTTCACCATTCATCTTCTTGTTTGACATAGCTTCGCCGGCTCTTTTTTGCCGAGACGGAATTTGAGAAGGTGCCTCATCGATTCTTTGACTTGTAATTGGGGTATGGATTTTATGAAATTTGTTAGAAGTGAATAATGGTGGATTTTATAGAAATTCATGGCTGATTTTGGTCGGTCTATTGATTAAAAGAGGGGGGACCCCAACCAGTTGGGGTTTGTTTTCGCGCCCTTGATGTGTAACAATTCCATTGCTCATTTTCTGACTGGATGGACACGTCTGTGTATGTGAAATACACGCGCATAGGCTCAAGGCTCAGATGTGTTTATTAGTTAAGGGAGTCATGAGTTCGATGTTCAAATGGGAAAATCCAAAGTTCGTGTATCGGCTTTCAAAAGCCCTACAAATTTAAGTGGCCAGGAAGCCATTACGTCTATTCAGAATTGTTGTTATTTACTATAATTACGGCTGGAAGTTTGGTGACTGATTTTCAGGGGAAGATTTGATTGCACCCTGCCACTGTAAAGGAACCCAAAAGTATGTCCATAGTTCATGTCTTGGTAACTGGAGATCAACTAACGTGAATTGCCTTTAGTACTAAGAGTTACTCTCAAAAAGAAAAATTTACTATCAAGACCTAAAATGAAAAAACCTATACACTTAATGATACCCTTAATGATACCCTTACGTTGACAAAGTAACATAATATATAACAAAAAAGTACAACATTGTCCACGTTGGGCCCAGGCAAAGCCCGGCCTAACCATACTAGTAATATATATATATATATATATATATATATATATATATATATATGTGTGTGTGTGTGTGTGTGTGTGTGTGATTTTAATTTTTTTTACCAATTCATACAAGATGCACGAGATATGCACGTACATCGCACGCAGAAGCTAGTTTTATTAAATATATTTGAGACCATTTATTAAGGTTTTACTTCATGCCACTAATTCCATTGCCGCCCTGGTTACACTATCATCTTCATTAATTAGCTTGTACTGTTAAAACAGGGAACGCAAAGGTGGAGAGAAGAGGAGGCATTGGTGATTAAATGAGGTGAGGATGTATGTTAATTGGATTAAGTGTTAAATATCTATGTATAATCTTTCACGCAACTTTCACCAGATTTTTTTTCTTAAGTAGATAATAAATCAAGTACTAAATAGTTGTTCGTATCTAAGAGTTAGTGCATCTAATTTCCAATGCAGAATGTAGAGCAAGAAACACGTTGCGAACACAAACCAAGTATACACACGTAGCTGGAAAATAGTCATAGCACAACTCAACGATGCATCAACGAGCAAAAAGTTTAGGACTCCAAAATCGGTGGCTGGCTGAACCGTCGCCACATTACCAATCCAAGCTGCCACCCAAAATAATAAGGAGACCATCTGAGCAGTAGAAGTGAATCTGAAGCTAAACTGAAAAGTAATAGACCACATCGATCCCATGACAAATTCCATAAGCTTCTTCATCTCATAGCTCTGCACTATTAAAGATGGCAATATGCCCATATCACACTATAAAAAAACAGCTTAATTGCGGGGGTAATTTTTAAGGTTTGCGGCGGTTGTAAACCCCGGCAATATGTTGTTGCGGCAGTCGTTAAAACCCCCACAATAACAGTCGTCGCAATCAATTTGCGGCAATTTTTTGCGGACCGCCAGAACTAAGTAGTGGCGGTTAATTTGTGGCGGTTGACCCCTGCAAATCTAAAATTAAATCTTCTTAAAATAATTTTCAATTATGAATTGCGGCGGTTTGAAACCTCCGCAAAATAATTTTAAAAGTTTTTTTATTAGCTTATATTTAAAGCTCCTGGCTGTCATAACCTCGACAATTCATGGAATTATTTTAATTCATATATTAATGAAAAATTCACTAATTAAGGTGTAAATCATAATCAAAGCAAAGAAAAAACATTTTAAAGTTAAGAGAAATCAATAACATATCGTAAAACTATAAAATATTGTCATAAAATATCATTTGTCTTTAAAACTAAATTATCAACATTAAGTAGCATCATTAGGCTCAAAAATTAAATTTGAACACAAAACATTCACTTCAACATTCTAGCATCCGCTCCAACCACACAAATATATTGTCACAATTAATTATATAAGACAATTACAATGAAATCAACGGTCCTCACTAGAATTACTATCACCGCGTGATCTTCTTGGGTCCAAGGGCGAAAGGGGTCCACTGCCCGCATCACTTGGCTGCATAAAAAGAAAAAGCAAAGTATAAAAATCATGCAAGAATCAGACATTGCAAGAACTCTAGGTTCACTAAGTACTGTAAGTAAATAAGTGTAACTCTTCAAGCTTCCTTTGTACTTTAAACTCAAATTTAGATTAACATTGAAGTCTTTCTTTTCTTTATTGGACTGAGAAAAGAAATGTTTGTGCAGATATACTTTGTTGGATAAGTCAAAGAGTATTGGTAATGTATACAAGTCAGTAAACCCAATAATCACTAGCAATTAATAAACATGACCAAATAAAAGGTTAATTTTATATTGCATTATGCTCCTAATTTTAAAAAATCATGCCCAAATCAGACATTGCAGTAACTCTAGGCTCTACAAAATAGTACTAACCTAAGTCACTCTATCTTTGCAAACAGACAAATTTAAGAAAAAATTGAAGAACTTTACTTACAGTTGTAGGAGAAACTGTCGAAGGAGAAGCAAAGAATCCCGCAAACTGTTCAGGTATTGTCCCTTCTTTCATTATCATATATGCCTTCAACGCATTCATCATTTGATTATGGTTCTGTTGACATTGGGACGAACATGAACCTTCACTACTTGAAGCACTTGTACCACCAAAACGAGGTCTTACTTGTTTAAAACCTCTACTGGGGACAGGTCATAATCCCAAAAACCTCACCCTTCCAAAGTGCTCTTTTCCTAGCACCTTACCAATGGCATCATTTGGCGAAATTTCAGATTCGTCTATGGTGCTTTGGCTCAAAGCTAACTCAATTTTTTCCTACACATACAAAATTAATTGTCACAATTAAACCACCATGAATGCATTTGTCTAGTATACCTTACAGATCCATACACAAAGACCATGCATATAGCTTCTTAGTGATTCTGTTATCCCCATAGTCCTAAAGCTTTATGGATTCTATATCCATGTGGAAAGAGATCTTTGCCATCTACAATATGGAAATTTACAAAAAGAAAATGCAATGGCAATTTCCAACCTTCTTTATTCACAGAAAAAGTTCATGTTTCTCTAAAGCCAATACATAATGACAAATTAATAATATACTTTTATATTTTTCCACCTAAATAATAAGGCAACATAAAATGATCATTTGCTATTTGTTAGTAAGCATCATTTTGACTGTACAAAGTTAATAACATAGCTGCAACATCATTGGGACATTTGGACATGTTGTACTAGTGTTTTTGTGGAACGTGGTTGAGTCTTGAAGCTGTGTGTGGAATCGTCTGTTTTTATCTATTTTCAGCCTTTCTTTTACGCATTTCCTTATTAAAATGTACTTGAAACTCAATTAGAAGAACAAATAATAATATAATTACAAAGACTAGTAGAAGCAGTTACATAAGTACCTTTGTTGAATCTTTATATTGATAATCAACAAAAGAAATCCATTGATCCAGCGGAATTCCATCCGGCACATTATCAATAATCTCAGCTCTACTTTTAAGTGGGTCTTCAGATGCACTCCACAAGTTAAGCTTATTTGCAGCCCATTTCTTTCCAATAGATTTATAAACATGTTGTCGCGCAACTGGCTCGGTTGTCTTAAAGAAGAACTTGGGCTTCAAGAATAAAATATTGGTTAGCATATCTATTACATGCAAATATAAAGTTCAAAGGAAAAATAGAGATATATTTGTCCTTCTCCAAAAAAAAACAGTGATATAGTTGTAAGAATATAGAGCCTATACCTTTATAATTTGATCGAAGACGCTGTTGAAGTATGACATTGGTAAACTCGACCATTTCTCACAGTGGATTGGATACAAAGTGCAGTCACACGCTAAAACTCCACAAAAGCCTGAAAGTAGGCCGCGTGCATCTCCAAATGGTTCATCCAGGTAATCAAAATCAACCATAATACGTTCTTCACACATTAAATTTAGCACTTCTTTGACTTTCACTTTGAGCTTTTTGACATTTTTTTCTGAATCTGTATAAGAAAAGAGATCAGATGAAGCCGGGAAAGAGATGAACAATGGGTTAGAAAGGACTGCTGAATATATACTAATAGCCAAAAGTATTTACCTATTGCTTCTACAGTCCAATGGCTCCCAGAACGCTTTCTAGATGCGGTCTGAATTGTTGGAGCTTGCTTTGATGACTCCTGATCTGAATTTTGCTTTTTCTGCAAACTCTTGAACCTTGGCATGTCTGCAATTCAATAATGAATCCTGCAGCATAAAGAATAAATTTAATAAGCAGGCAAAGCAGATCCACAAAAAGCTATCATTCACTTCTCAAATATCTAGTAGCCATATAGAGGATATATCTCAAACCACATGTTGGCCATTTCAAATTTCGACATCACAAATGATAGCATTCTAATACAACTACTCCATTTCATGATTGCTCATTTAACCTTGCAAGCTGCAACACACATTCCCGCACAGGAGAGAAAGTACCTTCACAAGCTATAAAAAAATCTTAATTTTCTTTGTTGTTGCTCTAGTTATTTATAATTTTTTTATACTAATAAAGCTAGAAAAGCAATCAATGAGCAAATGAGTAACATAACTACTAGCAGATAGTTTCCAACTTCAAGACAGTTGGTGTTCTTTTAAAGGGAAACTACTAGGATTCTTGTATGGTCCATCATTGATTTGAAAAGAATTAATTGATATGATGTAAAGGAAAACAGCATATGGAGTTACAAAATATCCTTTAGCTTTTCCACAAGTATTTGCAACTTCAATAGATGTACGCAGTTCAAACAGAGTTAGAAGCCTTGGGAAAGAATTGACTACTTAAAATATTCAACTTTAGCAATGTGTATAAGTAAAAATTATTTAAAATTGGCATTGTGGAAATGTTCAAAAGAATATTGACGTGAAGATAATGAGGGCAGCATTGGACAAGTATAGCAATCAAATAGTTGTTAAATCATTAGCCCCGTGCAAAAGCAAGATACCTACCCAAAAGTGCAGTAAAAAAACAAGATAAAGAAAAACAAAATCTTAAATTCAACGCTATATTCATTTTCGGAACAAGAACATCAGTTCTACAAGATAACAAAAATCCTATAGCGAGACAGAACCCCTATATCAGTCAAAATTAACAGAGATAAAGAACTAATGGAGTTAATAGCACGTGATATCCTACCAATGTAGATCATTTTGTAAACACATTTGTTTCCAAAATATTTAATTTGCCCAATAGCTAGAGCCAAGACAACATCACCACAACTATAGGTGATTGCAACAATATTTCAGCAGATACTTACAAGGATACAACTCTCTTGGACTTCAGGTCACACTTCACGCCCTTCCAGCCACATGGATCATCATCTTCTGGTCTCCAATACGTAAGAACACCGTCTGAACTTCGTATTGCGGTCCTAAAATTAACAAGTGCTTGACCAGCAAAAACAAAATTAAAGACACATGCAATTGAAAAACACACCAAAATTACAGATTATACAAACCCAATAATGGGGAAGATGAAAGACCCATTTTGTAGAAATAACATTACACAAAACCAAAAATAGGGCAGAAGAACTTACTGTAATTGAAGATACCTGTCGATTGCGATGCCAGAGTGAGTGATAGAGATGCTTATGCCACTGTATAGGGAAAAAGTGAGGAAAATCGAAGGAAAAAAGGGGGAAATGAGGATTGAGTACAAATCTTACAAACAAAATGAGAAATTCACACAAAACTTTCGATTTTAAGAAAATTAAAGTAGAAAGAAGCATGAAATTTGAGATAATCTCTCAAAATTGAGACCATTCCCTTGAGTTGTTGAAATATGTTAGTGAGAGCTGAGAGCTGGCGGAGCTTTTTAGGTTTTGATATATTTGAGTTAATCTCTCAATATTTGTATTTTGTTTCAGTCAAAAAATAATGAGCAAAGCAAAAAAAAAGTGTGGGAAATGTTAGCGCCCAATTTTTTTTGCAGATGGTGTAGGTTTTGAGCCGCCGCTATTTTCTTATATTGTGTCGGTTAAGTAAACCCCTACTATTTAACGAAATTTGCGGGTGTTGTAACTAACCCCTGCTATTAAACCCCCGCAATTAGGCTGATTTTTTGTAGTGTCAACTCACTCCTTCAATATCGTATAAGCAAGCAAAGGGCTTGGAGGGACGAGTAGATACAACAAATATATCAGGATATCAGAATAATATGTTTGAGAAGGAACAACCAGATTATTGAAAATCGCACAACAAAACCCCCCATGAAAAGCAATAATCAAAATACATCTGAATGGAAGGTGAAGTTAGAGTCCTGTAAGCCAATACGTAGTAAAAAACATCAAAGAAAATAAATGCAAAAATGTAGTATACGAAATCAACTAAGTATACTAATTGAGTAATGTGGTTGTCTACATCAAATCAGTCATGATGATAAAAGATAAAATGGTACGGACACAACCGGCACCTGTTCGGGATGCCGACCGGTATGGCCTCTTTAAGACATACATGTTGGATTTGATGCAAATGGCCTCTCTAACACATAAGCATAGGAAAAACTGTTTTTATGAAAGGATGTCCTATTTTTGTTAAGTTACCTGTTGCTAATACTTAGTAGGTTTTGTAAGTTTTTGTAACCTTTTTATAGAGAAAGTTCACATAAGGAGGTAAACTAGGATAGTTGATCCATCTCTTTGTTGTAACTGATTTTTGGATGAATGAAAGGAATGCGCCACCTATGGTGTAACTTTATTTATAAAAAAAAAAAAATACTAAGCTGACTATTTTCTAATGAGAAGAAATGCATATGCGGAGGAGGTAAAAGTAGGCAGAGATAAGCAATAAGATGTTACATTTATGAGGCTAACACATACTGCATGGTGGCGATGTAAACGTGCAGAGAGTACTATCAAAAGCTCATATGTAAATCGACTACACAGTGCATTAACAACGTACGAGACAAAAAAAACGATGATGGAGACATGGTAACTTATTCTAAACCCTAAGTATGTAATAGGGACAGTCGATCGACGTGCTAGAAGAAATTCTTTTGGATGAACATTACATGAGCATATGATTACAAATGTTCCAAATGGACTCTGGAAACATGAACAATGATTTAAAAGGTGTCTGCAAACGTGATTACAGTATGCTATATATAGGATATGAGTTTGTGTATACTTCAACGGTTATGTAGAGAATTAATATTACCAATTACAGCACTTGGCTTCCTGGGGTTACTTCACCAAAAAGAACGAGATGAACAAGAAGTGGTAATTGACGAGAAACAAACATTGTGGGAAAATAATAAGCATATGAATTAGTTAGTGTTTTTATGTTTAGTTTTATTGTTTGGTCTATATCTATATATCTGTTTACTAGTTAGTATAACTTTGGCACTATAAACTCGGATATCCAAATTGTAAAAACTTATTTATCTGTAACGCATACTAGGTTAAATTTTACACCACAAATATATATAACTTTTAACTCATAACATAAATATGATTTTAACTAATGTATATTCATCTATTTACTTGGTGTAAAAGCTACCTCTATTGACTTTTATGTTCAGTCAATATCACATGATTTTCCCATATAGTACACATTGAAACAAACCTCCAAATAAAACATGGGATATAATCTGTAAAATATGTTAATAATGTAAAAAAAAAATTAACATTGTCGCTGATATATTTCGTTTAACATCTATTAGTGGAAAGACTTAAAGAAAAAAAAAAAAAAGAAAATGAAAAATCATAGGAGTGTTGCGTGAAAGATTCAAGATATCAATTCAACGATAGAAACTGAAAACTTATCCTCATTTGATGTTTACATCAAGCTAATTGATGCATGACATATTGCATGACATATAATTGTTTATAGACTTTGCAACTTATCCTCATTTGATGTTTATAGATTCATGTAGTAACCAGATAGTTTTTTCTCCACTTGTATTCCTTGAACCATTAGCAGGTTTTTTTTTCTTGCTGTACTTGTGAAATTTTACCTTCTTTTTTTTTTTTGTCATTACATCTTCCAAAAGTTACCTACTATAAAATATACAGATTTATTTGTCAATGACTATGATAATTCAAGGCTATATGTTTATTTGCATATTTTCTACTTGCGTTCCACTTTTTTCCACAATTTATTTTTTACAAAATAAAAGAAACAAGATTAATACATATGACATGCAGTTATATTTAGCTGATAGTGTAAGAATTCAGTTGGTGTATAGAAGTTAATTTCCTTATATATGATCTCTCAACCATCTTAAATTTACCATAGCGTCTCTTTCGTGAAGTTTGAGGACAATTAGAGCCGTCAAAATGGGCTTGGCCGGTGAGGCCAGCCCAACCCAGCCCGCTACTTAGGTAGGGCTGGGTTGAGATTTATTTTGCCCATTTAAAACTGAGGCTTATAAGCCCGGCCCAAGTCAGCCTGCTGGCCCTTGAGGCTTGACCGAGGCTGGGCCTGGACCGGCCCGTGGGCCAAACATAAATTAAATTCAAATTTAAATATTTAAAAAAAGTAAAAACTAAAAGAATATTAACTATAATCCCATTTTCCAATCTTAGATTGCTCATTTACCTTCCATATCAACTAGAATTTATAATTACGATATGCATGTAGTATGACAAGATTAGTTTTTTCTTTTGCTTAATTAACAACAAACTAGGAACGTTTTAAGTGGCCAATAATAATTTTTTCAAAAGAAAATATTAATTTAAGTTGCCAATGATCAGTTTGGTTACTTTAATATATTAGTAATTATTGCTCTTCATTATAGAAAAAGGTCAAGTTTTAATACCGAAAGAAAGTGGACAACACTAGCAAATTTCATGAAGTTTAAAAATTTTATGGACTATAATGATGAAATCCACAAATAATGTTAAACCTAAATTAAAAAACCTTAACATATAAACTTATTGAAGCAATCCATAAACCTAATGAAAGTGAAAGAAAAAATATGCATGTAACGTTAAAAAAAGAAGAGCTAGAGATATAGAGAATTTGCATTTCAATTACGAGATTCCTCCTCAAATATCAAGATTCTTGTATACTCTAAATAAACAGAAGTAGTTCATATGATTAAGAGATTATTTCACGAAAAAATATCTAAAGATTTGAAAAATATTTTTTCTAAAAAAATTGAAGGGTCAGCCCGCCCTAGCCCATGGCCCTGTTTGGGCTGGGCTGGCCATTTTAAGGCCCATATATATAGAAGGCCGGCCCGTCTTAGCCCACCAAATTTTAAAGCCCACGAGGCTTGGGCTGGGCTAGCCCGTTTTGACAGCTCTAAGGACAATAGTAATCTACTTAGTGCAACTTAGTAGCACAACATTGTAAATTTTTGTTGTACAGTCAGATATCTCTATAACAACATCGCTATATAACAATCATTCACCGTAAAAGCTAATTTTTAATGGAACCAATTTTTATGCTAAGTTATGACCTCTCTATAATAACATCACTATATAACAACCATTCACAGTAAAAGCTACTTTTTAATGGAACCAATTTTTATGCTATGTTACAATATATGTTTTCTATAATAGTACATTGTTATAACAGCCAAAAAAATCTCGAACAAATAAAACTATTATAAAGAGGTTTGACTGTATATAAGCATTCATATTCTAAGTGGATGAGTACTGAAAGACAGGACATCCAGGGACCTGTATACCAGGTGCAGTAGGACAATGTGCCAAAGGGCAGTGATCATCTAAATTTAAACCCCACCAATTTGCTCCATTTATATCTCTAATTTGCAATGTGAAATAAGCAAGTATGGCCATAAATGCCACCCCAGCATCAAGTCCTGCTGATAGAATGTAATTGTGCCTAGCCCACCAACTTTTGTATTTCCTGTACACATAGAAGTTGAAAAACAGCCCAACCGATAACCAGCCGATGTAGTTCACTGCCCTAGCCGGTGGCATTCCTCCTGAACCTGATACAGAGACAGATTCGGAATTTAAATTTCACATGTTAGTCTTTAGATTTGTATTGTTAGTGCCGGAAATGTTGGATTCAGTATTGACCTGATAATAGTACAGGCATGTTGATGAGTCTAATCCACTCCTGATCAGGGAATTTGCGCGAGAGAAGCCAAACGGGGACAGGCGCTAGAATTCCTAGTAGGAAGAAGTAGTTTACATTGGAGTATAATCCTAGTTTTCCAAACATCCTTAAAGGACCAACAACACCCCAAATAATTGAGGCACTGTAAAATACATCATCTCCAGGGCAAGTCCATGGGCTTCCCTCGGGCAATTTTGATGGATTGCAGATGTTATCCACTGTATCGAGGAGCCACCAAGCCGTCCCAAAATAGACTGAGGATGCCACTACAGTTCCTACTAGCTTTATCATATTAAGAAAAATTTATAGACTACAAGTGTTAGTCCACCAATCGTGGCATAAGATAGTTGTATGTACTTTTGAAACGTAATGTACCTGGACAATGAACATCGATTTTGGAGGGATCTTCATGTAGTGGCCTAATTTGAAATCAGCGAGAAAAGATATAGCCTGTGACACGCTAATTAATCCATAGGTTTTGAATGTTACATTGGCTAGAGGTTTTCCAGGATACAGGTAACCTATGATGAGCTCTGCGATGACATTTATTCCTGGTGCCTGTATTATAAAGATTTCTAAACAAAACCAAAGTGCAGTTGTTGAATATTGAAAAATAGTTAATGGAACGTTGTGAAAGTAACCTGGTTCGTTGTAGCTGTTATTACAGCGATAGGGAGGGTGAAAAATAAAGCCAAAGCCATTGCTAATATGACTCCCCAATAAGGAAGCTGCAATTGTCTACCAAATCCCTCAGAAGCAAGC